GGGGAAGAAGGGGCGGAGGTGAGGCCGTAGCCGAGCATGTCGGGGATGATGATGCGGAGGCCCAGAGATAAAAGAAAGGGGACTTGGTAGCGCCAGCCGAGGGAGAGGTCGGGCCAGCCGTGGAGGAGGAGGACGGTGGCTGTTGGTTGGGGGAAGGCGGTCGAGTCGGGGTTGGCGAGGAGGTAGTGGTAGGTTAGAGAGGTGGAGGGGATGGTGGTGTAGTGGTGGGTGATCCGGGGGTCGTGGGGGGTGAGGGCGTCGAGGGACATGATGCTTGTCATGGACAGGAAGGAAAAGATTGAGAGTTGATGGAAGAAAGAGAGAATAACAGGTAGAAAGGTGGGAATATGGTGCCTTATACTTGACTTATACGATTAGAGTATTACATCGGAGCATTTGTTAAATGTTGATCGGAGGGTTGTTTACTGCACAACATAACTTGTTAGTGAACTCTATACTTTGAGCATGTGTGATGTCAAGGTTCATCATGGGGTCTATGTCAGCATAGGATGACATTGCTGACGAATTTTTCTTTCCTCTCGGGTAAAACATCCAGGGGCTTATATCCGACTTTAAGTATGGCAGCACTCCTTTCCCGCAGTGTTGACTCTCTTGTCGGGTTACTGTCTCTCGTTCGATACACAGTTATGTATGATTCAGCACCTCACAAATGCTAGGGGCCATCAATCTGCATATAAGCTCATTGAGTTCGTTTATTTGGATCTCTATCGTGTATGTTCCCACAAACAATCTCTAATTCAGCTGCTTGCTATCGACTCCACGCCATCAAACCCCCGTTTACCATGGCACCTCAGTACCATCAACAGCATTGTAAAACTTGCCGTTAGACTCCTTCGTGAGGCCGTCAATCTATAATTTAGAAATGGTGTCAGTGCTCAAATTCAATTTTCCCAGTAGAACAGAAGATCAAACTTACCAGCTTGACAACACTAGCTGCACTATCCCCCACCGTCACCGGCGCCTTATCCCCCATCCCGACCTTCTGCGCAACCCAATTACCTGGTCCAGTCTGGACCAATCCCGGGTGCAGCGCAATAGTAGTCATCCACTCCTTCTGGCTGCTCGCAATACCAGCCGTAAGCCAGTTCAGCGCCGCCTTCGCGCCTCCATACGCCGGCAGGATCCAGGCCGCCAACGGATCAACCAAGCCAATACTTCCTGCAGTAGTCGACACGCTGGCCCACTTGGGCTCAGTGCCCTTCTTTAGCAGCGGCAAGAGCGCCTGGAAGAGGAGCAAAGGGCCAATGGCGTTGATGTGGTAGTTCTCCAGCATGTCCTTGGTGTCGACCTCCTCGATGGGAACGGTGGAAGGCATGGCGCCCGCGTTGGCGATGGCGATGTCAATGTGATCGATTCCCTGGGCACGAATGGCCTCGACGGCGGCGGCGGGGTCGGTGGAGGAGGTGGATTCGATGTGCACGAGAAGTAGTTTGGAGCCGGGAGCGGTGGGAGAGGCCTTGAGCTCGGCGACGGAGGGCGTGGAGACGTCGCGGACGGAGCCGATGACGGTGTGGTTGGGACGGGAGAGGTAGAGCTTGGCGATGCCGGCGCCGATGCCTAGGAGGAGAGTTGGTTAGTTTGCTGTGGATTTTGCAAAGGGGATTGAAACTGAGAGGTCGAGGGGGCACGAGTACCCTTGCCTACACCGCTGATGAATACGACGGTGGAATCTGTTATGGCCATGGTGATGTCCGGTTCTTGGTGGATTTGGTGTTCTGGGGCGAGTGGTGCTCGACGAGGATGGAGGCTCCGAGTCGTGGAAGCAGTGTTGTTGTAGCCACGGAGGCTTTTAAAGGACTACAGAGAGTAATGATACTTTGGATCTGTCAGTTTCATGGAGAGAATGGCTGACCAAGCTGTCTGTCTCCGCCTGGTCTTTCATCATGATGTCTCGAAATGACGACGAGCTGGGTGCGCAGGAAACGAGGCGGCGTCGTGCTGGGCCGCCAGTGCGACCACATAGTGCCTGGACTCGGTTGGCATCATTGGCGACAGGTCCATCGATCTTTGTCTTGTTTGAGAGAGCCAGCTCCAAGCTTAGAAAGACGACAAGTCATGGTGTATCGGTCGCCTTGAGTAACGTGAGCCGGAGAGTTTTTCGAAAACTTTCCATGATGTTGCGGCAAGGGACTTTTGTGCCTGGAGCGGCGGACCGTCCTTACAGGCTCTTATCTGATTGGTCCATACACCCTGGCAGCTGCCGGAACGGGCAAAAAGTCTTGTAGTCACCGGCATGGATCCACTTTGGATCACCACGACAGGTACCTACCTCTAGACAGACCAGCGAAGTGTTGACGACACTGATCTGGCCTTCCCTACTATCTTCTGCCTTGTGAGTACTCTGGCAATGGATGTCTCCGATACCAACCGCAATAACACAAATCAGATAAACCGCCGTGGTCAATAATCTGAAGATACTCAATTTGGCAAGGCAATGCCAGGCTCTTGTTCCGTGTATGCTGACGCTATTCGTCCCCCAGGCGATGCCAGAGATTGCAACACCAAGGCTTGGAGCAACATGTTGCTTACCCACCGAGGAGCTCAACAGATATCTCTACCTCCCGTACGGACTTGGTTGCTCTTGAATATCACCATGCGAGGATCTTGAGGCCCCATATCCTTTTCCGGTCTGAGGCATCAACGGAGGTAGCACCATCATTCTCTTTCTGAATGTTCAAGCTGATGCTCGTTGCCGTGCCATCGAAGTCCAAAATGTCTGTCGAATGGACTTTTTGATGGATTCATAACATGACTCTGGAGAACCAAGCCACCTCTGGACATCATGTTCACTCACTCTTACCCCCCTTCTCCTCCTCCTCATCACTCACTCACCACCGCTCGCTCGTCATCCAGCACTCGACGACCATCACTGAGCAAGTCCAAGATGGCGCCTCAGTCAACAAGATTTGCCCTGATCACAGGGTGCGGTGCCGGTGGTATTGGAGAGGCCCTCATCCTAGAATACCAGCGCCGCGGCATCCACCCTATCGCCACACTCCTCCCCTTCGAGTCGAGCGAGCATCTTGACAAAGCCGGGATTACCTGGTTCAAACTGGATGTTACCAACGAGGAGTCCGTTATTCAGTTGAAGAAGGATGTTTCTGAGCTGACCAAAGGGCACCTGGATTTCCTTGTTAACAATGCGTACGTTTAAATGTCACTGAAAATGGACATGAAGACTAATTCGGATTAAATTTCAGCGGTATCTGCTACACAATGACAGCCCTTGACACCGATGTCAAGTCTGTTCAACGCATGTTTGATGTCAACCTGTTTGGGCCCATGCGAATGGTGCATCATTTCCATGATATGCTAATCACGTCCTCTGGCATCATTGTCAACATTGGCTCCATTGGCGGTATCGTGCCGTTCGTTTATGGATGTGAGTCTGATGTTTCTTGCTGTAACAAGGCGCTCAACTAATACAGATAACAGCATCCTATAACGCGTCCAAGGCAGCTCTCGCGCACTGGGGTAACACCTTGCGCGTGGAGCTGGCACCGCTCGGTGTCAGAGTTCTCGTGGTAAGTCTATCAGCGGCCCAGTCAAACATTGCCAGAATAACACGCTCACAATCCCGCCATCAAAGATCATCTCCGGAGAAGTCGGTACCAACATCCTAAAGAACGATCACGGAAGGACCCTGCCTGAGGGGTCATACTACTCTCCAATGGCCGAAGAGTTCAAGAACCACGTCCACAGGACGCCCGGTAGGGCCCTCTCCGTATATCACTTACTATTTGCTGCAGCTCACTAACGATGACTACCCAGATGCTGCCACCGATCGCTTCGTCTACGCCAAGAACGTCGTTGGCGAGTCCCTCAAAAAGTCCCCCACAACATGGTTCTGGACAGGGAGCTACTCGGGCGTCATTCGCTTTTTGCATACCTTCTTCCCCAAGACAGTGTTCGTAAGTATCCCCGCTTACCCATAGCAGGCAGGAGTTGAGCTTGAGATGATATGAGCTAACAGCTTTTTTAGGATCGCTGGTTCTCAAGCTTGTTCAACTTGGCTAAGCTGAAGGAAGCGCATGATGCGGCGATGAAGAAGAAGGTGGCTTAATTTCCATCCTTTACTTTCCGAATTGGCGTTTCTGGGTATCCCAGGCGCCGGGTTTGAGATATTGAGAGTCACGATGGTTTACACGTGCTGGATAGTAAATCCAAAAATAGCTCAAATGTACTATTGCGCAAGGTTGACGGCATTCTAGACCATGCTTAGATATTACCGTTTATTCCGCCCCTTGTACAGTTCTGATAAAAAAAGGATTCTGTACCCACTTTGCACATATTTAATGGCTTTCCTAGTCTTGGTCAAAAGGAGGGGCTTCACCGTGTTATCCTCCCCCTTTCCGACGCACTTGGTCCTAGGAGTAGCCAAGGTTTCAGTGTCCTGCCGTACGGAAAGATTGAGTGAGGTCTACCTCTACGTACTATCCCACGCATATTTTAAGGGACTGGAAAAGGTAATGGAAGAAGAAGCAATGAAAAGAAAAGAACCTACAAGTGACTCATCTATCTTTCTTCTCACTTTTCTTTCATTTACGATTCAGTTTATCCGAAAAACAACGGGGAATATGATCGACAATGTTCCACCCTTTAACCAACCCGAGGAAACTCTTTGCCACCCCGAGTGATGACAAGCTATACATAAATACTTGGTCCACTGAGGGAAGGAGAGATCGTGACAAGGTGTCCATGGAAAAGTAGCGGGCTGATTGGAAAAGGAGAAAGAGAAAGAGAAAGGCGAATCGAAGGAGGCCGGTCAAAGATGCAGAAAAGGACAATAACAGTTGTCTAGTAGCCTACCTAACGTGTGAAGGTAGTCTGTCGATGAACAATCTTCTTTTCCCATTCAGAGACAAGTCAACAATTCAATCAAGCAAAAGCACAACACGCGCTCTTTGGAGTTTTCGCGGCAATAAACCAAAATACTGGCCTCTTTCTTCTTTGTAAAAAAAAAAAAAAAGAAATCCTCTCGCCAAACCAAACTACCTATGAGATGAGTGCCCATCTTGGGTAAGTAAGTATTCTACCGCCCCTCATAATGCTCCTGCAAGCTTCCCAAATACCCCTCGACCTTCTCCCCCTTTGCATCCACCACCTCCTTGCAATCCAACAACACCCACATCACCCTCCCGGGTAGCGTCCCGTTCCCCGTGACATTCACCCACTTGTGCGCCGTCGCTCTTTGCACGCTTACATCCCCCTGACGCATGATCCGCTTCTCGCCCGAGTCTAGGATCAACTCGAACACGCCTTCGACAATGATGCCGTAGTCGATCGTCATGGCTCGGTGGAGGGGGGACTCGACGCCTGGGCCGAAATCGATCATGCGCACTATGGAGCCGGATTTGTAGTGGAAGGGGGGCTTTTTCTTTGTCAGTCATATGCCTTGAAATAAAAGAGGAGAGGGGGGAAACAAACCTCCTTCTCCTTAGCCTTTTGAATATCAATGTTGTTGTTGAGATCGACGGGCGTCTCTTGCGTGGAATACAGCAGGTTGGAGATAGCTTGGTTCTGGACCATGAAGCGGTGGTGGTCGCCGTGGTCGGAGTGCAGAAAGACGGATTCACCCTGCTCGTTGAGGCCGGTGATGTGCCGGACGATTTGACGGAGGCCGGGGGCGGGGAAGGACTCGACGTAGTAGCCGTTGGGGTTGTTGTTGGGAGGGGCCATGGTAAATGATGAATTCTGGAGTAAAGCGTTGAGCCTGTGTGGCAAGGTTTGTAAAGGTATTGAAGATGTGAGGTTCAATGGATCAGGAATTGTTGTGATGAGTGAACATGTGATGAGACGTCTTTATGAGGTTCTTTGGGATGTGTTATGGTGGGTTAATGTTCCGAATAAATTCTTAGATAATCTCGAATCTACACCTTTGGCCAACCTCGCGATGTGTTAGATCCCAATCAGACATGAGCAGCAAGCGTGGTACCTCCATCCAAGATCATGTTGCACCCCGTAGCATAACTCGCTTTTGGACTAGACAGAAACATGACCGCATCGGCAACTTCCTCGGCTAGCGCAATCCTTCCGAGAGGAACGGCTTTCTGGATCATGTCTCCGAGTTCAGGGATGTCATCCATGGCCTTGCGGATCATGGGTGTATCGACCCACGACGGACACACGCTATTGACCCGGATGCCATGCTTCGCATTATCAAGTGCTATTGGAACAGAATCGTCAGTAAACGCCGGAACGGACCCTTTCTGCTACGCTATCGCCAAGCAGGCACGGTACTTTGTGTAACCCAACAAACCTCCAAACTTACCAGCATTCTTGGTGATTCCAATGACTGCATGCTTGGCGGATGTGTACTGAACCATGCCTGGGGTAGCAACAAACCCCGAAGCTGACCCCACGTTGACAATGCTACCCCGTGAGACACCCCGCGCGGGAACGGCTTTATCAACGGGAACGGGGTCTTGGGTCTTCATGATGGCGGAGAAAGCGCGGGTGACGATGAAGGTGCCAGTTACGTTGACCTTGAACATCCTTTCAAACTCGGAGATGCTGGCTTCGGCGATTTCATTGGCCAATTGGACTCCGACCTGTAACCGAACATGGAATGTCAATCAGTGTATTCTGGTGACTAGGGGGTCATGGTAGAGCTTACACCAGCGCTGTTCACCGCGTAGTCGATCCGACCGAGGACCTGATGTGCGTAGGCAATGGCTTGATGGACGGATTCTTCTTTGGTTACGTCGATGGCAACTGCTTCGGCCAGGAAGTGAGGGTGAATAGCTTGAGACTTACACTCTGCTGCCACCGCCGAAGCAGCTTTGAGCGTGAGATCTGCTATGACGATGCCTCGAACGCCATACCGAGCAAAGGCCAACGCACATGCCTTGCCAATACCGCTCGCTGCAAATAATAATACGTACCTAGTTAGCAAAAGCGATGGTAAATAAGAAATAAAAAGGAAATCATTTACCTCCGATGAGGAATGCCGAACCAGTGAGATCCATGTTTCTATGATGTAGCGATGGCCAGCTTGCAACAAAATCGAGTGCCATCCACGCCGAAGGATTACCATTATATGCATCGGAGGACGACAGTTGCTGGAATTACGGAACACCAAGTCTGTGTGCCAGATTACCGTCAGTATCCCGTTCCGTTTTCCAAGATCCCATCAACAATCTCGGGGCGGATGTGAGATTGGGGGTAGGATTTCGATGCAGGTCAGATTTGTGTAAGACGGAGATTGAGGCAATACCCGCCGGCGTTGCATCCCGGGAGTTACCCCCAAGGCGAATAAGCAAATGATGGCTTCCCTTGGAAGAGAGAAAAAGAAAAAAAATTTGATCTTTCGTGTTAATGCTGTAGTAAGGTTCCGTATCCGTGTGCCGAACCCGGGATCGATGATGGAGCAATTATTGGGCGGTCCCTGAACGTCGTGAATATGACGAATCGGACAATTGACCTGATGAGAAGAGATGTAACGAGCCTGACGATATAACATCGGTTCCACTCCGTACCTACTTTTCCACATCATCATCATCACCATCATCACAAACTTTCGTCATCAACATTCTTTCCGTCTCTCTCATCTATCGCATCTTACCTCTCTCCATCAACATGTCCACCTCCGGCCCCATCACCGAGTTTCCCGCCCCCGGTCTCCGGGATCCCTTCCGTTACATCACCGGCCACGACGCCGAAGGCAATGCCGTCTTCGTCCAGACCGACAACGGCGACCACCGGGCTGTAATGCTCGGCGGTGCTGCCGCGCAAAACATCATCTACAGCGCTGGCTCCAACCCCATCGAGCTCACCGGCAACGTCGATCTCGAGTTCGCCAAGAACAGGGTTTGTCCTTGCCCTTTACCCCCTCCCTTTTTTTTTTGTCAAACCAGCAGCAAAGATATTGACCAAAAAAATAGCCCTCCCTCCACATCCCCAACGGCGTCTGCGTCCGTATGATTGACTTTGCACCTGGCTGCAAATCCAACATGCACCGGGCCCTCTGCATGGGCATCGGCACCGTGTGTGAAGGCGAGGTCGAGCTCACGCTCGGCAGTGGTGAAAAGCGGATCCTGAGGCCTGGCGATGTCTCGATCAACCGCGGCGCGATGCACCAGTGGCGCAACACGTCGGACGAGAAGCCGGCGAGGATGTTGTACACGCTGCTGGACATCAAGCCGCTGATTGTCAATGGCAAGCAGCTGGACTTCGATATGGGGTACTTGATGAAGGAGTACGCGGAGTATGATGAGGGCGAGGGGGATAAGAAGGCTGAGTAAAGGAGACCGGGCTGATGGAATAGGGGTAGTGTTCATGTTGGTGGAGTAGTTACGCTAGATGCATCATAACCAATATTGCGAATTTTCATTGTTGTTTTCTACCTATGGTTATGATGCCTGGTACGTCTTGAATTTGCCCATGAATGTGAAACGTCTGGACACAATGACACTCACAGCGCTCAGAGAACCTGTATCGTACCGCACATGGTCTTCATCCTGTTACAGCTACTGTGAACATCCCACTTGGAAAATCTGATGTGCTCAAAATGCTGCTAATCTGATAAGGATTACATCGCGTAGTCTATAACCACTCAACTGCAGTTGTGAATCTAGAAGCCAGGAGATACCCAGAAAGAATGTTCAACCCCCCAGAGGGGACGAATAAAACCAGATATGGGTATCACCCAAATACCAGACAAGTAGGAGATCTCTGTGGCTGATCAAGGCAAAACGCTCACAGAGCGCTGTAAACGCACCGTTAGATGGGTTGAAACGGGCTGTACTGGACGATCAGCAGGAAACGGCCTGTACTACAACAACATCACCTTGATTGAATCTTGACGGCACTTGCCGTTCGCCCATTCGGCACGTTCAACGTCACTATCCGTTCAAAGTGTAAAGATTGCTTTCCCTCTGAGAGATTGTTATCGGGATCAACGATTCGGTCACGGTGATATCAGTGTTATAAGGTCGTATAACCGCTCGGCGGTCCGAGACCGTAAGACGGGGGAAATGGCGGGCGCCGATACTACGTCTCTTAGGCGCGAGGAACTTTGGCGACACCACGACATCAAGACCGTCCGTCGTTTACTGGCCGTAACGGGCCTTTCTTTTCAACGAATCATGGGCATGTGCTTGATCCTTTTTCTTACGGGGTACGACGCAATACGCACAAGATCCCCTTTGACCGAACCACGAGTATTACTTGTCCAGTATAGTCTGATGATGCACTGTCCCTTTGACGGCCGCCGCTTGTGATCGGCTCTTGTAGGGCTGAGGGGTATCTTTGGTAATGTCCTGGCCTTGAAGAGAACGAGACACAATCTTTGTGGTTTTGTTCATTCTGATGGGATGAAACGTAGATGGGTATGATGAAACTGGCAGACACCCTCCGAGACAAGAGCGATATCCCGTCCCAATTCGGTGCAGCAAGTTCTGGAGACGGTGGCCTGTGCAAGTAAGACAATGAATGCAACCTTGACTTTATCTCCGATCTCAAAACTGCACGGTCAATGATACCCACGGGGTGCAGCTCCCGTAGCACACTACCGGCCCATGTGCCGAGGGAACAGCCGCTCGTCATGTTTATCGTAGAATGCAGTCCGTGCCCATGAAAAAACATCGCCATGGAAACCTGGCGATGAAGGATGCTATGCTTGGGGTAAGTAGGTTAGAGAGCTGTGGTTTTCTTCCAAGGACTTCATTCGGGACAATTACAACGCCCAAACTCAGAGCCGGTGTAGCCTTCCTCTGATTGCCACCTGGAAGGGAGCCTAGACACCGCTCTTCTGTCCAGTCCTTATGATCATAGCTTTAAGCTTACCGAAACACGTTCCGTACAGCATTCCGGGGGCAATGTCGAACATGATAGCTGACGTTTCTGGTAGGCATGCAAAGATCTTCAGCAAGATAGTCAAATGCACCAACGGCAAAGGGACTATCTCCATGTTTCCATATCCATCCCCACTAGCACCTTGCGGCTCACTCACAGCGTGGGGGAAGCGAAGGCGGATATGCTCCCAACAGGGAGAACAAGTAAACAAGGCAGTGATGAGAACGTTAAACGGAACCGAGACGGATATTGGTGTTCCCATCACCACGCGGTAAGATAATGTCCGTACTCCATGCTACTCCATACACGGCGATGAACCTCCCCTTTGTAACAGGACAGCTCTAACGACTTGGTTTAGGAACTTGTGCAAGTTGTCATCACGTGAATGCCTTCGGCGTCTTCATTCAGGAAGACAATCGAAGAAAGAGGCCATTATGGATGGAACTTGTGTGAATCGCAGTCCTCCGTACGCAAGTAAGCCGGTGATGGTGATGATGACACGATGATTGTCTTTGACCACGAACGAGGAAAAGACAGTGTATAAGAAAGATGATGATCGTCACCATCAAAGCACAACTTACCTTCCACAGCATCACCATTATCACACCAACAACACACTCGTGCTTCCTCCTCAAAGCATTCAGACTCCCATCTCTTCGCAATCCGTTGACAGGACACATCTCCACTCACCAAATCTTTCAAGATGGCCCCTCACAGCACTCTCGACTCCGACTACTCGTCGGGTTCTTCCACCCCGACTAGTGCCAGTGCCGCTGGCGATGGCTTCGTCGCTGGCCTCAACGGACTCAACAATGGGCGCGCCGTGGACCCTCAAGAGCCCATCGCTATCATTGGAATGGGTAAGTCCGACCACTAGCCACACTCGTGACAGCATTCCACTTTCCCCGGATCAAAGCTAACACCCGCTTGCTAGGATGTCGTTTGCCCGGTGGAAGCCACTCCAGCTCCAAGCTTTGGGAGCTCCTCAAAGCCGGGCGCACCGCCCAGAGCCGCTTCCCGCCGTCGCGCTTCAACATCGATGGCTTCTACCACCCCAACTCGGACCGGCCCGGCTCGCTCAACATGGAGGGTGGCTACTTCATCGAGGACGACATCCGCGGGTTCGAGAACTCCTTCTTCGGCATCAACAATCTCGAGGCCACGTACATGGATCCCCAGCAGCGCAAGCTACTCGAGGTGGTCTTTGAGACGTTCGAGAACGCCGGCTTCACGCTGGATCAGGTCTCCGATGCCAACATTGGTTGCTATGTCGGCAACTTCGTGACGGATTTCATCACTATGCAGCTCAAGGATTCGGAGTACACCCATCGCTACTCGGCGACTGGTTTGGGTACCACCATCTTGGCCAACAGAATCAGCCATGTGTTCAACATGAAGGGGCCCAGCTTCGTCATCGATACTGCTTGCTCTTCCTCGCTTTACTGCTTGCATGCAGCCGTTACCGCCTTGATTGCTGGAGAGTGCGACTCTGCCATCGTGGCTGGTGCCAACCTTATCCAGTCTCCCGAGCAGCAACTCGCCACTATGAAGGCTGGTGTCCTGTCCAAGACCTCCACTTGCCACACCTTCGACTCGTCTGCCGATGGTTACGGCAGAGCTGATGGTATCGGCGCTATTCTCGTCAAGAGGCTCAGCGATGCCATCCGTGACGGAGACCCAATCCGCTCCGTCATCCGTGGTACTGCCATCAACTCCAACGGCAAGACCAACGGTATCACCCTGCCCAGTGCTGATGGTCAGGAAGCCGTTATTCGCAAGGCTTATGCTCAAGCCGGGCTTGGCTTCAACGAGACCGACTACATTGAGTGCCACGGTACTGGTACCGCCGTCGGTGACCCGATCGAAGTCGAGGCCGTATCCCGCGTGTTCAAGAAGCCCCAGGGTGCTCCCCTCTTGATCGGCTCCGTCAAGAGTAACCTCGGTCACTCCGAGGCTGCTTCCGGTCTTTCCAGTATCATCAAGGTCGCCATGGCCCTCGAGAAGGGCGAGATCCCTCCCACGTATGGCGTCAAGAACATCAACCCCAAAATCAAGACCGATGAGTGGAACGTTCAAATCGTTACCGAAACGACCCCATGGCCTAAGAACCTTCCTCACAACGCCGGCAGGCTCTTCCGCCGTGCTGGTGTCAACTCCTTCGGATATGGTGGTGCCAATGCCCACGCCATTCTCGAGGCCCCCCAGATGCACGTCCCGGTTGGATACAACCGCGGCTCCCTGCCGGCTTCTCTCGCCCGCTCGACTTTGTTCCTCCCATTCTCCGGTTCCAACACCGCTGCTCTCGAGCGCAGAGTCACTGATATCGCGGCTGCGATTGACTTCGAGAATGTCAACATCGCCGACCTGGCTTATACCCTCGGTGTCAAGCGCACTCACCTCAGCACTCGTGGCTACATTCTCAGCGGCCAGGACACTCTCAAGGATGACCTCAAGCCCGAGAACCTCCGCGTTGCTCTTCAGGGAAAGACCTATTCCAAGCTTCCCTTGGCTTTTGTCTTCACCGGCCAGGGTGCTCAGTGGCCAGAGATGGGCAAAGAATTGATGAAGGAGTTCCCCAGCTTCCGCCGCACCATCCAAAGGCTCGATGCTGCTTTGCAGATGCTCCCACATGCTCCTACCTGGACTCTTCAGGGTGCCATTCTCGAGCCGGCCAAGACCAGCATGATCAACCATGCCTCGCGCTCTCAGCCTGTCTGCACTGCTGTCCAGGTCGCCCTGGTCCAGCTGCTCGCTTCTTGGGGCATCAAGCCCGAGAGTGTCATCGGCCACTCTTCCGGAGAAATTGCCGCTGCATACACCGCTGGCTACCTCACTCCCGAGCAGTCCATCATTATCGCTTACTACCGTGGCCACTGTGTTACCAAGAGCACCATGGTCGGTGCCATGATGGCTGCCGGTCTCGGCGCTGAGGACGCCAACAAGAAGATCAGCGAGCTTGGCCTCGTTGGCAAGATCCGTGTTGCTTGCGTCAACTCCCCCGAGAGTGTCACCATCTCCGGTGACACCGAGGGCATCGAGACTCTCCGTGCCCAGTTCGACCAGGCCGGCACATTCGCCAGAGTCCTCAAGACCGATGGCAAGGCCTACCATTCTCACCACATGGCTGTCATTGGCCAAGAGTACGAGGACCTCCTCACCGAGGCTCTCGACGGCGACGACTTCCCCACCACCAGCAACGGAGTCCGCTTCATTTCCTCCGTCACCGATGCCGTCGTGAACCATGCCGTTGGCCCTGCCTACTGGCGCGCCAACCTGGAGTCGCCCGTCTTGTTCGCCAACGTCGTCGAGCGTCTCATCAAGGACACCGCCTCGCACCTCGTTGAACTCGGGCCCCACTCCGCTCTCGAGCTTCCCATCAAGCAGACCCGTACCAAGCTCAACATCAGCGAGACCAAGGTACACTACGGCTCCGCCCTCTCGCGCGGCAAGAACTCCATCACCACCATCCTTAACCTGGTCGGTGACCTCTTCCTGCACGGGCACGACGTCTCCTTCAAGGGCGTCAACTACGTCGACTCGGCCTTCAACA